ACGGCTTAAGGCTTAAAACACCTATTGTAGATCCGGACTTAACGACAGTTGTTCATGTCGTTGCGCAGCTTTTTTACTCTACATAATATCTGCGCAACGACATCAACGACTGTCGTTAAGAGTTACAGAATCGGCCCTTTAAGCCGTAAGAAATTGACCAATTACAATAGAATCCGAGGGGAATAATCGACTGTGATTCGTCCATTTCTTATAGCTTAAAGCTTAAAAACCTATTGTAGATCCGGACTAAGGCGTGCGCGTACTACTTTTACATCTGACGAAGAGGGTTCAAGACCACGCAGTATCAATTTTTTTAAAATGAAAATTAATATAAAAACATTGGAAACACAAATGAGTCGTACATCACAAACATTTTACAAAATAATATTTCGTTTTACATTTATTTTTTATTCATATTATCATTATTATTATAAAATTCGGACATTGCCATACAATGTTGTGGATGAAAATTAATGTAAAAACATTGAAAATATAAATGAACCGCACACCACGAACATTTAATAAAACAATAATTCGTGTTACACAAATTATATTTCAAGTTATGTATATTTACAGGGAAACATAATTGGTTAACATTATAAAAAATTATATTAAAAAATTACGTTATAAAAAATAATGATAATGACGAATAAAAACATAAATGTAAAACGAAATATTTTATAAAATGTTCGTGATGTACGACTCATTTGTGTTTCCAATGTTTTTAAATTAATTTTCATTTTTTAAAAATCGATACTTCATGTTCTCGAACTCTCTTCGTCAAATGTAAAAATAATATGCGCGCGCCTTAGGCCGGAATCAGACTACGCATTGAAGATCGAAAGATTGAGGTTTGACCAATCAGAACAAGAGGAGCCAGAATTTCTTTGTCCTCATTGGTAAAATTTCAATTTTTTATCTTTAATCTCAATCTTCAATGCATAGTCTGATTCCGGCCTTAGATCCCTCGACAACTGCGCTTCTTGCTTTATCCCTACTTATTCACAGTACTTACCGTGCAGCAGGCCGATTGTCCAACTTCATACGCAAATATCTCTTAGGGTGTCGTCACATGCGGCGTAACCTGCGTAAGCGTAACCTGCGTATTCTAGTAATTGACTAGAATACGTTATTTTTTATTTACTAGAATACGCCATTCTGAAAAACCGGCATTCACATTGGGCGTATTTCGCGGAAGATTAGAGAAATGCGGAACTAATGCAACCAATTGCTGATTAGAATTTCTGTTGTACACTCTAAAGAAGTGCTAAACGAATTTACGATTGATTTTAACATGCGCAACTCGAAAAGTACGGCTCATGGGGAACCGGCACCTTTCCATCGCGTATATATGAGCGGATGATCGAATAAATTATTAAAATTGGAAAATTTTGTGAGACCACTCTTAGGCTTATTCGCGTTTTTGCATGAAACGAAAGAATCTGGCAAAAAAAAACGTCGCTCTGCCTTGTGATCTGAGATATTAAGCGTTAAAGTTGACGACTATTGAGGTTAGGAAATCTGTCATAGAGGCAAAATGAGGTCTATAATTGTACTGTTCCACATGGGTTTCGATTTTTTTTCACGCGATACAAAGGGGCGCACGACTTCTATAACTGTACTGTTGCAAAATCGAAACCTCTGTGCATTTTTTCAGACAGAATAAGCTAAAATGAGTCAGAAATTAGATTCGACGCATGGTGGTTCTATCATGTTTCGGCGTAACAACAAAATAGCGTAAAAAGCATAAAGTAACTAGACAGAAACTGATGTTCAAGTGAAATGGGTGGCACCCAGTTGGACATGGCTCAATTGGACACGAGCCACTCACAGCGCTTGAGACTACAAAGCTCCTAGGCACCGGTCGCTGTGATTGGTGGTGTCCAATCGAGCCATGATTAATCGGGATCACCCCAAGTGAAATGATATGATTGGTCGGCGCAAGTTACGCTTACGCAAGTTACGCCGCATATGACAGCACCCTTAAACAAGGGCCCATTCATCCAAACCCTTTTACACTTTTTGCACTCTCGACCCCGCCTTTCGAATGGTATAGGACACATTCCAATTCGTATTTCGCAATTCGTGCCATCCCTTGTTAGTGTAACATGGCGTCTCGAGTTCTAGAGTCCTATATATGAGAGAAGCGACATTCATCCTCACTACCATCTCTAGTATATGTTCAGCACCACCATGTTTGGCCCGCTCCAATTGACTAGTTCCGTCATACTCCATTTACTCCATTATGAGAATCATGAACTCCGTCAGGATAAGGTTAATGTTGGAGAAGGGCAGAGTCAGCGGATTTCCGCTGATCGGTAACCCGCTGAGCGAGTCGGTCGCGAGCCGATCCGTGTTGACGAACACGAACGTGTGCGGCACTGCTCTCCTTCTGTGTGTGGCGGCGCACGCGTTTTGGGTCGATTAGAGATCCTATAATCAGAGTTTGGCCAAAGCGGACAAAAGATGGCGGATAGAAGGAGATAAC